AAAATCATACAATGTGATTTCCTGAATTTTTTTTAAACTTCTGTCTCTCAGAGTGGGACTGCACCTACAATGTGAATTTCAGACCCCTCCATGATTTCTAAGTGGGAGAACTTGCAAAATCGCAGGGTGTTCAAATACTTCTGTTCCTCAGTGTATATCCACTGAAATATGCTATAAGCAAGTATTTTGCAGAGTAGAATATAGACTGGCCAAACAGGGATTACGTTGACACAGTTAGCCAGCTTGAACATGTATTACAATGTACTGTATGTGAGCCAAAAATCCCTGATTTTTTGCAAAGTTTGCTATAAATGTCTGACATGTGTGAGGGGCTTTAAAACAAGAAAAAAACATACATAAGGCTTGTTATCATACATAAAAGGCAGGGGTGTCAAACTGGCGGCCCTCCAGCTGTTGCAAAACTACAAGTCCCTACATGCCTCTGCCTCTGGGAGTCATGCTTGTAACTGTCAATCTTGCAATGCCTCATGGGACTTGTAGTTTGACAATAGTTGGAGGGCCCCCAGTTTGACACCCGTGCATATAAGATATCCCTTGGAAAACATCTCTGAATTGAAAAGCTGCTAATCTCTGTTTATATCAGCAGTTTGTATTTTGCCACAGATACAAAATACTGATTACTATATAGACTTGTTTTATTTCTGAATTTGTTTCTAATACATATTTGTGAACACCCTCTTTAGTCAGATGTTTCGAATCCTTGCACAGCTCTTCAAAAAATTATTTATTTGGAGGACAGATTGGAATTTAATTTATGTAATTAAAGCAGATCTTGCATATAACAGCATAGAAGAACAGATGTTGGAAACAATTGTAAACTATTAAATTCGCCAAAGAACAAGAAACACATTGAAAACATAATGCCATAATGTCACCTGTGTTTACATTTACTTTCACGATCAATACTAAGTGCAGTGACATTTCTAAGGTTTATAGATTTCAGTGAAATTTAGACACGCAATTTGTGCAGTGGACATTAAATAGTGCTGATGGATCTCAAACATAATTGTCATGCAAGATGAACACTTCATGATCAGAAGCAACCATGATGGAATGCTGGCCAACGATGGACTGAATTTTGGCCGATGCAAAACAAGTTTGGCCTATTTCTAACATCCTTAAATGCCAAAAGACAGTTAGAACCAGTGAAGATCTGTACTACTGTCTGACCCTTCTCTAGTCACGCTGACAAGAGAAGTAAGGCCAACACTTTTTTTTTACTTTGAATAGAGTAAGGGAGGGTTATGACCCAGTCAGTCTGTGCCCCATTGAGGAGATTTCCCTTCATTTCCTATCCAATAGCCAAAATAGAAGAGGAAATATCATGAAAGGTGGGAATCCCCAATTGTCACCAAAAATAGCATCCCCACTGAGGAGTTCCCTTCTATTACTGTTCTGGGACAACCCAAAATTTGGTATTTTCTTTTACTTTCAATGATTACTATAAACAATGCAAAAAGAGAGGATGAATCTCCCTAGTGAGAGAACAGCAATTTAAGCTTGATAGGTGTACTAATCCCTTTCCCCTCTATCCAAAAAAGAAAAAATTAGATTTAGTTATACTTTAATACCAGATCTACCCCAGTGTGGGGGTGAACAAATCTCCCACTACTATCCTAACAGGCACGGTTGCCTGTTTCCGCTGTGCAATCATATGGCAAGGTGAGATGCCCCAACTTGAGGGTGCCATCTCAAACAAAGTTTGCACCTTCACTCACAGGGATCCTATAATAATGGGGATAAGGCATACCAGCTTTTGCCTAAAAAGATTTACTCCTTTAAATTTGGAGACTGAATTTATGAAAGCAGGATTTCCTGAAAGTAAGCAAATCAAACACTTTTCAGCAATATGCCTCAATAAGCACAAGCTGACTGTCACAAATTGCCCAAATGATTACATCAGAGAAAAGGAATTAATGATAGGCATGCCCTGATGGGGATTTAATCCAAATCCTCATGCCTCTATTAGGTAGAATCAAATATTACTTCTTCAAAGTAGTTGATTCAATCGATCTGCCTTGCTTCTCCCAGTTATCATGAACTGCAGATTGATTATGTGAGTTTTGGCTTAGTACAGACTGGAGAGGGCGGTAACATTCAACGGATACAAACATCTTGGCTAAGTAGCTTGGCTCCCATTTTGATATGAGGGCATTCACTGCTCCGCATAATTTTTTGTCTTTAATCAACATTAAGCAGTGAAGAATTTAGTGCAGACACCTAGGGGCTTATTTATGTGTAGCTTAAGCAAAACGTTCTTTCTGTGTCTCCACTGAGGGAAATTACTCCTTACTGAGACAGGGCACAAGGAAAAGTCTCCCCAAAGAGGGCATAGTAGAAAAAAAGCTAACCAAGGTTAGTACTTTTTCCTATGCTGTACAAAGGTAAATAAAATGGGCTGAAGATGGTGTGAAAGCAGCAACCAATCAAATTTGATTATAGTTAAACAATTTTAAAAAATGACATCTGACCATTTGCTGCACATTTTGGATCATGTCCCTAAAAGTGACCTTAGAAGTTAATTTTCATGCTAGTTGCTCTATTAATTGCTAGCTATATTTAGTTTAATTTATATTAATATATTTTTCAGTTTAAAGCAGGGCATACATTAATCATTTTCTTTCGTTCAACCAGTGGGTTGAACAAAAGAAAATGAATCCATACCCCCATGCACACATTCAAGGTGGATGGGGGAACCCCTCCTGCTGATCTATTGTATTCTGACAGCGCAGAAGCTTCCCCATCATCAGAATACACTCATCAGCACTGACAGCTATAGCCAGTAGCACTGACTGAGCGAAAATCAAGAGATCGACTTCTGTAAAATCAGCCTGCCCATAGATGGACTGAAATTCGGCCGGTTCAGCAGGGATTTCAATCCATCTATGGCCAGTTTTAGTCTCTGTCTCTTTGGCCACCATCCCTTCTATTGATACATATCTTTCCTGCACTCTACTGCTGCTGTGTTCTTATTCTGGAGAATTGAGTCTAATCCCTGTATAAACTCTGTGTCAATCTGTATTGGAGCTGGAGATGTAAAATTTCCTAAAATTTTGAAGCCATGGGGGAAAAAAAATGTTATTTTCTGTTTTTTTCTGGAAAGATTGAAAAATGGATTCTGTGTGGAGTAGTTTTACAAATTGAAAGTCTGGGAACGTGAAATGCACTGGGAACATGAAATGCAGTGTATATAAAACTATGTTTTTATATATATTTTAAAATAAAAATAAAAGTACAGCTTATTCAGTACATAAACTAAATTTGCTTTATAAAACTTGTTTTGATCCAGAAACAGCAGAAAAATTATTTTCTGGACTGAGAATTCTGGAAGGTAAAGCAACTCAGACTTTCATTCTGGTCCTCACCATTTACTTCCTTAAAGTATTTTTTTAGGTTTTTAGGGCACCTCTGGCATGCATGGCAAGTGTTTTGTCATCCTTGTAGCATTTAGAAAAGAATAATTCTCACAATATTTGCAAATTGCAGCTTTGCTAAAATTGCACTGTGGAAATGTTTTCAAACTCTAGATGTTGGTTTCCTCATTTTACTGAGAAGAGGAAAAGAAAAAACTAAATACTGACCAGACTATAGGGAAATACTATGCTGTGATGGTGGAAAACAATAATAGAAATCAATTAAAGGTTCTAAAAACGAACTAATTTGTCGGACAAATTACCCTCTTGCCTGTCAATTAAGGCCTGAGAGGACAGAAACAATCATCTACTCTATCCCAACAATCACCCAACTGTGAGAGCTACAAGATATAGCCCACAAGCAAACTAAACTGGAGCCTTTCCCCTGCAGTGCCCCTAGTGACAGAATTGCATATTTCTCTTGTTTGAGAACTGCATTTAAATGTAAAGTTTTATTTGAATTGTATTCCAGGATTTGCTTGTCTTCAGCTGAGAGAACTTGCAATAACTTAAGACTTTACATAAAGTCCCAGAAATGTTTCATTAAGGTCTTCATGTTATATAGTTTGAATACCATGTCATAGATATATTATTTAGCATTGTAAAAAAACATATTCCACACTTCTTTTGTTTTTCCAATTTTTTTCCGGAGCCACTACCCCCCCCCCCCCCCCCCCCAAATAAAAACATTTTTTTCCTAGTGTTTCTGTTTTTTTTTTTCAAGGCCTTCCCATCTATAGTTGGAGCCTCCATAGGGTTAGTGACTTTCTCCCTTCCCCCATGCAACAGTGTTCAGGCCTGGCTATTGGTTGCTCAGGCACCAAGTGTGGGATCCTAAGAGGAAGGGGAGAAGTATATGCTCCCCACACCCTGTAAAAACCAGGGAATTTTGAGGGCTCAGACAGACAAAGGAGAACAGCAGAAGAATGTGGCAAAGTATAAGCAGGAGGGTGGGAAGGGGTATTTAAGAGAACCTGTCACTTTGCCCACTCATGTTCCTTTTAAGGCGTATTCACACTTGTGCTTTGTGACAACGCATTCTAAAACATGCGCATTAATGCATGTTGCCACAATTTATGGCGATGCACCAGCTTTATGTGCAGTGCATTGCAGTTCCACTCATTGTGAATGGCAGCCCAAGGCACTGTACAATAGAACCCAACGCACAACACAGCGCAGCACAAAGCATGTACCATGTGTTGTAGTGTTGTTAAAAAAAGTCATGGATTTTTTTTGATCATTGTGGTGTGTTGGCAGCCCATTCATAATGAAACAGTGGCTTTAACACAATGCACATTAACGCATGGCTAACACATTAATGCAAAGCAAAGGATTGTTTAAGTGTGAATGGGCCCTCAAAGGATCATTTCAAATTAGTTGCTATTAGATGTTGCTTCAGGTTATGAGTGGGAAAAAAAAACATAAAAGCATAACAAAAGAAAATGGGACAACATAAAATAGTTTATGTTCATGCTGCCACAAAGCAAAAACAGGAGAAAGAAATATATCAGAACTAATGCCATGTCAGCTACAGGAATCACAGTACAGATGCACTCCTGTCCTTACCTTTGAAGAAAGGGATGTAATGATGCCTGAATGTAGATGTGGGGCTTGTATGTTGGGACAGAGATGTGCAGCTGCTGGTACCAAAAGGCTCAGTACCAACTGATCAGCCAACAAAAAAGGAAATTAAAAGAACGATTTTAGCTCCATTGGGGGAACTCATGCACTAACAAAGATAAATTGAAAAGCATTGTAAATAAAATAAGCGAATGTTTTGCAGCTTATTCGCTGTATAAGATCATGCAAATCCTTCTCTGAAAACAAGTTTTGTTGATATGAGATGGAAATCAAGTACAAAAAAATACAATTATGTTTTCCTTAGAACCAACTTCAATAGTTAATACAGCAGGGTATTTTAAATGTAGGCAATCAGGTGGGGGGGCACTAGGAAGACATAAAGACATCAAACTGATTTGTTGCGCATTGCTATATGTATCCTGAATTACTTCATATTGTGAAAATGTATTTCATAATTTTAGCATAATTTTAGCAGAATTATAAGGATTTATTATTTCCCAATAGTAGATTTCCCTAAATTGGCCTCTTGACTGCAAAACATTCTGTACATTTTAAATAAACGTTTTTTTTTTTTTTAAATAATGTGATCTGTTAACTATGTCAGAAGAGTTTTCTTCTCCAATGTTACTAACCTCTAGAACTGCAAGATATATTTTTGTCACTTAACAGGTGCATACTTTAAAATGAACCTGTGGCTAGGCTATGGGCATTTGATATTTGCATATTCTCAAGAAGCAGTTAATGAGACTTAAAACAAGCTCTCATTGACCTCAGAAGCAATTCATTATCAAAGTTCAAAGTGGAAGCAATAAAGTAGATCTGTAAAAAGCTCAGCTCACCCTGCTTTCCTCTCACAGTTCCTGCTCTACGTTTACATCAGAAATCTGTAGGCTAGAAGGCTGCTAAGTCAATGCTGAGAGGGAGATCAGTGCGAGCTGAGCTTTTGAATCGCTGCTGGTACAAGGAAGCGGGGAGAGCTGAGTTGTTGAGTTACTGCTGAGAGAGGGAACTGAGCTACTGGGAAAAGGACATAAGCCTGGTACACACTACTAGTTTTGACAGCTGACCAGACAGCTCAGGAGGAGCCACTTCTCGGCCTTTTGGCTAAGATCAAGTGTAGTATCTGTTCTTATCAGTGTCCAGTGGGGGTGCTCCCGACCATTCTAGTTTACGGGGATGGTTGTTGTATAGTACCCTCACTGGTATGATGGGGGTCCGGAAGGCTAGTACCGGAGGGACAGAAACCAGGGAGCGCCATGATTCGTTCTGGGGCCTTGGGAGTAATTCCTCTGGGGAGACCGGAAAGACCCAGTACCTCCTGATCTGAACGTGCTACCTTGGTCTGGCCTGGGGCTGGGGACGCAAAAAGTCCGCAAACTCAGTGCCCCCTGGGGAAGACGCTCTCAGGGGTGTCACTAGTAACACTTGGGTGTGGGACCCCACGGTGTGAAGATGACACATGGCCACTGTCTTTCACTTCTTTTTTGCACACAAGGACCAGGTCTTTTGGCTAAGTCCAGGGCAATTTTTGCTACAGGCCTCAGGGCCTGGTCTGTGCACTATTAGGCACGGTACCACTTTTTTATTTTATTTCTATTTATTTAAACCACTCCCACGTTTTGTCACTTTTTCTGTTCTTATGTGTGTGTGTTTTTCACGGATGGAGGGTGTGGGTCCTCGGGCCTTACCTGAAGTCTAGGGGGAGGATGTGTGGCCATACGGTTCCTTCCTCCCCTGATCCCTAGGGGGTTTTCTCTTCGGGAGAACCCCCTGCCTAGTACTGGATGTCCGGCTTCGGCTGGGCATAAGGAACGGTGGTCCACCAGGCCTTTTGGCCAGGAGACCAAATGGGAACCTTGTCCCTGTCAGGAGCTTCGTGCCCCGGGGGATCGGGTGAACGGTCCAACCCTTTCGGGGGTAGGACAAACACACCCCTAAGTGCACGTTTTTCGTGTGGTGTTTTCTTGCACTTGCACTTTTTTGCGGACACTTACGGGTTTTTAAGTTATAGTTGCACGTTTGCGGACTTAAAAAAAAATAAGGACATAAGCCTGGTACACACTACTAGTTTTGACAGCTGACCAGACAGCTCAGGAGGAGGTGCCACTGTACTAAATATCTGATAGTACAGTGATCATCCCTGCTGTGATATTGTGTTCTGACAGGGGGGATGGTTCCCCCACTAGGACACTCTGGTCAGAGTTGCTGATTGGGAGCCGATCAGCAGACCTTTTCAGTCATGCCCCTTCAACAGAAACCAGCCGAACAGCAGGCTTATGTCAGACCAGCTGCTCTACACATGGGCCGTATGTTGGATGGTTTCTAATGAATTGGCTGATGCCGTCCAACATTCGGCCCATATGTACTAGGCTTTCGAGGATGTCAGTGCTTCTGTTGAGAACTGCTGAGACAAGGAGGCCAAGTTGTTGAGTCACTGCTGGTAAAGGAGAGCAGTAGGAGCGGAGATGTTAAATCGTTACTGAGAAAGGAAGTAGAGCTTCTGAGAAAATGTACTTAAAGGACTTCTGCTGAAAACTCTGAGGATTAATTGCCCCACAGCTCCTGCAATTACAGGTCCATGCTGGCTACTTTAAAACACATTTATAGCTTGTTAAGAATATATTGATGTTTTATTGTTCGTAGCCTTTGCAAAAGTGAGGGTGAGGTCGCTCAACCTCACCATGGTATCCTGTGAAAGCTGAGGATCCAAAATCCCACAAAAATATGTTCCTGCTGTATTCCATGGTATGGCTGACTGACACCCCCCTTGCCTAGGCAAAGTGGCCAGAACCTGGTGGGGATGTAACTTTGGCTTTTTTTTTTCAATTAACTGTGCATTTTGTCAGCGGGTGGAAGGCTGGAGGATAAGCAGACCTTCCATTTTCATTCAAGTTTCAGTATAAAGCAACCCTGGCATAATCATAAAATAAGCCAGTGAAATGCACCCTGTAAAATAACAGGATGAATACTTCCCTGCCAGTGAACAGCAAGGGAAAACTTTGCTCCCTTCAAGGTGCTTCCATCTGACACTTGTAGTAGCCTCTCACTGAGTTTTCCATTAATGCAATAGGTTTCCTTTGATGTGATGGGCTCGTTAACCAACAGGGGCACTCATGAATGGCATAGCCAAGCTCAAATTTAGGAACAATTAAAATCTGCATATAAATTTAGCTGTCCATAACTTTGGATCTATGGATCATTTTGACACATGGCTTAACCTGAACCTAGCTTCTGCTTATGAAAGTTTCCATTATATGTTCAGTTTGCATTGTCCAGGTTATGATAGGTATGGGAACCATTGAAAATGTGCATTCATTATTTAAACATTTTCTTGTAACGGAGCTTGAAAATATAAGCATTGTACAATGTAACAATTCTCTTACTTATCTGTGCACAAGTGGCAGAGATGAAAATGTAACAAGATAAAAGGAATTCATTCACACTTTACCTGGTCTGCTGTAATGTTGGGGTGAATGAGATGTTGGAGTATAACGGCCGTATCCTACAGAGCCAGTGGAGCTCGGGCTGGACGCTCGGTACTGTTTCAGTGACCGATCATCAAGATCTCCCTGAATGGAATAGAAAAATTAGATAAAACAAGGGCATTATGAAAACCATCTTACTTGAATCATTCCATTACCTCACCAGCAATTGATTCAACCTCTAGATGCTATGATGGCTCTCATAGTTCATAGAAAGCCAATAAGAATGTAGAGCTGCCTAACATACTCCTGCTGAAAGTGGAATAACCTCAAGGAACACCTCAAAAATTAAGTTTTATTCCTTTTCGCATACAAACTAGCAACTTAACATAACCCCATAGCAATTTCACAAAAATGTTGAAACAATTACTGTGTATGGGGCCCAGATGTCACTAACAGTCAACAAAAAAGTGAAAAAAATGAAAAATATAGGAGCTGTGTGGACCTCAGCATTTGTGCAGGAGGGCAAAGAAAATAGCTTGCACTGTGGCAAAAAATGGCTTGGCAAAATGGATTCCACTTCCATTTAGTACAAATTTTCTCCTGATAGGGTATGTCCATCACCTACTCATACCCTCCTTTCTCATACTCCCCCACTGTTTTAAGTAAGCTCCATTATGTGCTCTCCTCGTTCATGTGACAGTGTCTGGGCCTGATGAATAGCTGGAAAAAAGGGGAGAAGGCAACATGCTCCTCCATACCTGGCAATGAGTATTTTTTGGCACTGCCAAAGATGGCCAGGGAAGCATGATGAAAGTAAGTATCAGTGGATGGGTGGGAGGTGCCCCATCAAGAGAACCTCCTTAAAGCAGAGCAAGCATGGACACCAAATTATTATCGGTGTCTAGTTCTGGAGATTGGCTAATTTGCAAATCAGCAGCCCTCCTAGAGCCAGACACTACTGAAAGTAGGTCAGGAAGAGTTCTAAACCATTCTGTAACCAGAAAATATATCAAAACTTTTATTTAGATCTGAGTTCTGCAAATCCATTCCTCTGACTAAAAAAGCAATGCGCTTCTTATACTGCCCTCGTTCAACTGGGACACAATTACTGCCAGTTTTACATGTAAAGATATAAAAGGTTTACACTGCAAGATGACCTGTGATCTAGGAGATTTACTGTTAGGGCTCATTTCATTTTTGCCCTTGTTCAAGCGGGCAGTCAGGGAGCAGTAAAACTACAGCTTTTTTTTTTTGCTTGGTTTTACCACCCCCTAGCCCAGTGGTCGGCAAGCCGCGGCTCGCGAGCCACATGCGGCTCTTTACAAACTTAAATGCGGCTCTTCTGTGTGCCGGGCTCCCGCTCCCCTCCCTCCTCTCGGGCGGCTGCTCCCCTCCCTCCTCTCGGGCGGCCGCCCCCCTCTCTCCTCTCGGGCGGCCGCCCCCCTCTCTCCTCTCGGGCGGCCGCCCCCCTCCCTCGTCTCGGGGTCAGGACTCTGCAGCTGTCAGGATGTAGGCGGGGCAGCCAGGATGTAGGCGGGGCAGCGTGACGAACTCCTCTCCTCTCACAGTCCGCCCTGAAGACCAGAACGGCGCGGGAACACGGCAAGAGGAACGCGCGGAGCAAAGGTAAGTGAATTGACACAATATGGGGAATGAATTACTATAGGGGGGATGAATTACTATATGGGGGATGAATTACTATGGGGGATGAATTACTATGGGGGATGAATTACTATAGGGGGGATGAATTACTATAGGGGGGATGAATTACTATATGGGGGATGAATTACTATATGGGGGATGAATTACTATGGGGGATGAATTACTATATGGGGGATGAATTACTATAGGGGGGATGAATTACTTTAGGGGGGATGAATTACTGTGGGGGATGAATTACTATAGGGGGATGAATTACTATACGGGGGATGAATTACTATACGGGGGATGAATTACTATACGGGGGATGAATTACTATATGGGGGATGAATTACTATATGGGGGATGAATTACTATGGGGGATGAATTACTATATGGGGGATGAATTACTATGGGGGATGAATTACTATATGGGGGATGAATTACTATATGGGGGATGAATTACTATGGGGGATGAATTACTATATGGGGGATGAATTACTATGGGGGATGAATTACTATATGGGGGATGAATTACTATGGGGGATGAATTACTATGGGGGATGAATTACTATACGGGGGATGAATTACTATAGGGGGATGAATTACTATGGGGGATGAATTACTATATGGGGGATGAATTACTATATGGGGGATTAATTAATATGGGGGATGAATTACTAGGGGGGATGAATTACTATATGGGGGATGAATTACTATATGGGGGATGAATTACTATATGGGGTAATAATTACTATATGGGGGATGAATTACTATGGGGGATGAATTACTATATGGGGGATGAATTACTATGGGGGATGAATTACTATATGGGGGATGAATTACTATGGGGGATGAATTACTATGGGGGATGAATTACTATATGGGGGATGAATTACTATATGGGGGATGAATTACTATGGGGGGGTGAATTACTATATGGGGGATGAATTACTATGGGGGATGAATTACTATATGGGGGATGAATTACTATGGGGGATGAATTTTCAGTTTTAAAAATGTGGCTCTCAAAATAAATTTCAATCGTGGTTTGGGCGAGATTTGGCTCAGTTGAAAAAAAAGGTTGCCCACCACTGCCCTAGCCACACATGTGAACACTGCATTGATTCTTGGTAGACATTAATATTTTACTGTTTGGGAAGATCTAATATATATGTACACACACATAGTTGGTTTGATGCTTAATAACATTCACAGATCTCCTGGGTATGTGACATATATCAGTGGCTGAGCTTCCTTTACACCAAGAATGGTATAGATAGATTCAGCACACATCTACTCATTTCCTATTGAGTCCTAGATTTCTTTCTAAGGATGCTGACAAACATTTCCTAAAGGATAACCAAACCTAAGAAAAAATACGAGGGTTCTTCAAAAAGTTTCCGCACTTTTTAAAACTCTATTATATATATAAAAGTGCAGAAACATTTTGAAGACCGCTGATATATTACAGTTTACCACTCGCTTATTTAACATATTTTTTATTTTATTTTATTTTTTTTATTTGCGTCAAACAAGAATTCACATCCTCAGATGCAACTCAACAAACAACGAAAAAGACACAATAAGTACAAAGTGCATCATCCGATTATAGTAATCTGAAATCTGATTGCCTATCAGCTATTGAACTTTGCACACTAACAGTACACTTTCACCACATTGCATAAAAGAACATTTTAACGAGCAGCTTATTTGTACAGAGTTCTATGGATTATTTTTCACCAGATATAAAATAAAATAATTATGAAATCTTGGTGAGATGAGAATGCCAGCATGATAGAAGCAAAAGGCAAAAATAAAAACAAACAAAAAAATCACAAACATGTAGACATGGCCAATTACCTCTGTAGGTGTTGAAGAGAGCAACTGAGGTGACTGCAAACAGCAACACAAAATAGGAAATTAGTGAGACTGCTCCATGCATGATGGGTATAACGACATGACAACAGTTCTGAGAATCCATGTATATAACATTTGCAGGTATTAAATATTCATGTACACAAGCGTAAAATCAATACTGCTAATAGCCATGGCTTATCTGAGCTTTATCAGTACATCACAATTAGTAGACAAGGATTACTGGAAGTTTACTGGAAGTATGTGGGGCCATACTTGGAGAGCTGTAAGCCTGCTGATAGGACAAAAAATGGTGATCTCAGGTCACCAGATTTCTGTGGCCCAAAGCAAGACTCTTGACACAATTTCCAAACATCTCTAGAATTATTGGACACATCATTTCCCAGTTCCCTAAAGCAAACCCGTTCTTTACTTATTCAGGACAAAGCAACTAGCTTGCTTTACTCCCCCAATCCTCCTGCGCATGGTTGGGAGCCAAAGGGAATACCTCCGACTTCCAAACATAGAGGAGCATGTAACTATGTAACTTACCCATGTGACAGGGCTGGGCCAATCAGCTTATACACACATTTCCTTTGCTCCTGGCAGCTTAATCATAGTAAAGCTGGGAGTGTGGACTTGAAAGAAATCACATCCATCAGTCAGATAGAAGAACACTTTTACTGAAATTCTGCAGCCATATGATTGCTTGGAAAAATTTCAAAAAAGGTAAATTGACTGAAATATAGAGCTGTGAAAACGTATTCTTAATTTTTTTTGCACATTTGTTACACTTATGACCCGAGTAAATACAATTTAGTTTTTAAATGATGATTTCATTTATTAGGAAACAAATGCTGTCCAAACCTACCTGTCCATATGTTAAAAAGTAATTGCCCTCAAACCCCCTGCTTCATAACCAAAATTAATTTAGTATGGGCCAATCAGCTTACACACACATTTCCTTTGCTCCTGGCAGCTTAACCATAGTAAAGCTGGAGGAAAGTGAGTAAATTATGCTGGGGTAGGCTTAACATAGAAAGAAAGGCAATACAGGCACTCACCTTTTAGACACTGCCTCCCCAATGATAATATATTTCCTGCATACAGTTGTTAATAAATATCAAAGTAATTACCTTTTTTAAACTTTTTCCCAAGTGGTCTCATGACCGCAAAGCTCTGGTGAGTCTATCTGTCTGAGCAAAGCTGACAAGTCCCTAGAGCAGTAAAGTTATACAAATAACATCCATAGGTCTAAGGCAGTGTGGACCTTGAAAGAAATCACATCCACCAGCCAGACAGAACACCACTTTTACTGAAGCTTTGCAGTCATGTGATTACTTGGAAACATTTCAAAAAAGGTAATTTGATTGACATATAGAGTTGTGAAAAAGTATTTGCCCCTTCCTGATTTTTTTTTTTGCACATTTGTCACACTAATAATTTCAATCATTAAACAAATATTAAAATTATACAAAGATAACCAGAGTAAATACAATTTAGTTTTTAAATGATTTCATTATTAAGGAAAAAAAGCTGTCCAAACCTGCTTGTCCACATGTTAAAAAGTAATTGCCCTCAAACCCACTTCTTCATAACCCAAGGGCGCTTGAGCTTGAGCTCACGACCTGATGGCTGGACATTCTCCTTCAGGATTTTCTGGTAGAGTGCAGAATTCATGGTTCCACCAATTATGGCAAGCCATCCAAGTCTTGAAGCTGCAAAGCAGCCCCAGACCAACACACTACACACTACCACCACCATGTTTGACTGTTGGTATGATGTTCTTTTTATGAAATGCTGTGTTAGTTTTACGCCAGATGTAGCAGGACGCACATCTTCCAAAAAGTTCAACTTTTATCTCATCAGTCCACAGAATATTTGCCCAAAAGTTTTGGGAATAATCAAAATGTCTTCTGGCAAATGTGAGATGAGCCTTTGTGGCTTTTTTTCTTTCTTGGTAAGCAGTGGCTTTTGCCTTGGAACTCTCCCATGGATGCCATTTTTGCCCGATCTCTTTCCTTTTGTTGAATCATGAACATTGATCTTAAGTGAAGCAAGTGAGGCCTTCGGTTCTTTAGATGTTGTTTTGGGTTCTTTAATGATCTCCTGGATGAATTGTTGTTGTTCTCTTGAAGTAATTTTGGCAGGCCGGCCGCTTCTCGGGAGGTTCACCACTGTTCAAGGTTTTCTCCATTTGTGGATAATGGCTCTCACCATGGTTTGCTGGAGTCCCAAAGCATTAGAAATTGCTTTGTAACCCTTTCTAAACTAATACATATTAATTACTGTATTCCTCATCTGTTCTTGAATTTCTTTGGATCATGGCATGATGTGTTGGTTTATGAGATCTTTTAGAATGTTTCAGTTTGTCAGATAGCTTCTATGTTAGTGAATTCTTGACTCAACGGGTCTGGCAGTAATCAGGCCTGGTTGTGCCAAGTGAAATTTAACTCAACTTTCCCAAAAATGTGGTTACTCACAGTTCATTCATGATTTAGTAAAGGTACTTTTTAACATAGGGCAAGGCAGGTTTGGGCTGCTTTTTTAATCTGAATCATTTAAGTGTGACAAATATGTGAAAAAAAAAATCCAGGAAGGGGGCAAATACTTTTTCACAGCACTGTATATTAGTAACTTAATTCAGGAAATATAAAAGCACTGGGGAGGAAATGTTTAAAACGTGGGTGGTTGCATTGCCTTTCCCTAATTAAAGTGAACCAGTTGCATTCCCCTGCATTGGCAAACCACAGGTTCACTTTCAAGTGAAACTATAGTGTATTATCAGTGAGAATATATAGTAAAATAAGTATTGAACATGTCACCATTTTTCTAGGTAAAAATATTTCTAAAGGAGCTATTGACATATGACTGGTTACAGTAATGACCACCCTTTATATTTATGCAAACATGATTTTGTGTTTTAGGTTGTGATTTGCTACATCCATAGATCTTGTAGTGAATGCAGGCATATAAAGCAGGACCAGAGGGAACAAGCAGGGATTGGTGTATAGCATTAGATGTATGATAGAGTCTGGAGGTATGACACATACTAAATCTTTATGTTTTATAATAAAAATGGAGTAAAGGAAGATAAAACAGTTTCTCTGGCTTTCTAGTAATATCTGCTCATTAACGCAACAAAGCAAACAAGCTCCATTAATTCTAGGAGCTGTAGGCACAAAAGCATTGTTAGTCTGTTTCTCTCAGGATCTGTAATACAATAAAAAAGAACACACAGAAGAGACATCGAACAGAGAGGACTAGTAGCAGAAAGGCAGAGAGAGACACAGAGATCTGGATCAGCTTTTATGAACTCGGCAGCAGTGGGCTCCTTGTCCCCATCTTTGCCATCACAAACCTCTCTGGCTGTTATCTAATACAGGATACATGGTACAGGGAATCTGTATTCTCAAAGGGGGATTATTTGTCGAAGAACTATATTTCCATATTCCGGAAATCTCAGAAGAACCAGGCAGTGACTTATCTGATAACATGGGAATTCAGAGATCAATCTAAGTTTCCTATCCGCAGGCTGCATACACCTGCCCTGCTATTCAGAATTCCAATGTGCAGGCATATTGCTATTTAATTCCTCTCTCTCACACTTCTTCTAAGCACAAATAGACTGCAGAGAGCTAATGCTAAATGAATACTGTGGTGTTGAAATAAATCTGCATCGAAAGACTATAAATGTTGAACTCCTGATTTGCATACTTTTCCTCTGTTACTGATGTGGAAACAATGGAATCATATTATATATTTCGGTGCATTGTATTAACGCATTAATTAAGATGAGTCCATTGATCAGTCACTTTTATCGTGTGTTACCCTCCCCATGGCCAACACATAGATCATAATGGCTAATTTCTTGTGTGGGTAATTGCTCTATTCATTATTTTACCAGTAATGGCATATTGTTTTAAATGTCAGATCTGAGTAGTCATGCCCAAAGTCAGCGATCAACCAATGGTGGCATTGGGGAGGGTACATAAGGATAGTCACTGTGCCATACTGCCATCCCTATGACTAAGTTGGAAGTGACAAAACACATCAGAGCGAGGTTGTACAGCAACCGGAAGTGACATTTTGAACCAGAAGTGACGTGTGAGCGCCATTGTTTGGGATCCGGCGGTGGTGAGAGCACAGCTTGTGTATCCCTCTACATTACAGGTGTTTTTTTCCATTTATCTTGTGAGTGGCTGTCTATACATTTAATAAAAGGTGTTATTGGTTACTGCACCATTGGAATTTTATCTCTTATTTTTGCATGACCATTATCGGGTGGAGAGGAGTAAAGGAGATTTGAGGAAAGTCTCTATGCAGTTACACCTTTTGCAGACACACATGCGATACATGCCAACCATGAGAATGGAAGGCATGTAAATTTGGTGAGTGCATACCCAGAAGAGGGGGTGTTTGTTAAAGGCACATGGTGTTTTTTGGTTTTGGAACACTTTGAAGATTTATCACATTGAAATAGATATTCACATGTGACAATGGACTATACTTTTATGCACTAAGTGATTGATACATTTCACATGAATGTTTTGATGTTTTATATACTTTTTTGATTACAGTACCACTGGACTATTGATGTTCATTTATTTGTGCAATCTAAGTTTCCTATCCGCAGGCTGCATACACCTGCACTGCTATTCAGAATTACAATGTGCAGGCATATTGCTATTTAATTCCTCTCTCTCACACTTCTTCTAAGCACAAATAGACAAAAGAGAGCTAATGCTAAATGAATACTGTGGTGTTGAAATAAATCTGCATAGATTTGCATACTTGTTCTCTGTTACTCATGTGGAAACAATGGAATCCATAGGATTAGCATGAGAACTAGATAAATGGCACATCTTACAGGAGAGGTGAGCTTTCATACTCCCTGATTAATGTTCAACACATTTTATTTTTAAATGGTCACTTTTCCCAAAGTGATTTTTTTTATTACGGACGGAGTCCAGTGGGCTGAGACAGCCCCTTGCTATTTGTATTTTTTCATTTTCCAACAGAGAGATCTAACTGCCATATCTGCCAACTCTGATCCTGTCTACCTGGGAGTTCTGGGTGCCCCCACTCACCTTTGCTTGTCCCAGCATCTCACGTTAGCCTCTCACTAATTTAAAAAACATGGATGTCCAAACCTGAGGCTCATGGGCAACAAGAAAGCTATGAAACGGCTATAAATGCAGGCCATCAACAATACATAGATTTTTTTTTTAAATGCATTTACATTTAATGAGCACATGCGCCCGAAGAAAAATTTGACAGTCTCTCTTTACTGGACTACAAGTGCCAACAGCCTTTGCAGCTGACGGCTTGTAGTTCTCAATGAACTACCAGGACGCTAGTGAATCCATTGGTTGTTCCTGTCACTCAGAAACTGCTTGCCAGTATGAGGTACAGGCAGACAGCTACACAGACAGATTGAGATTTCACCTGAGATTTCACCTGCGATCTGTGATCGCAGCTGCAATGCTTTAAAGGCTCCATTAAAAAAAAAAATAAATGCACATTTTTTTTTACCAGCAAAAAAAGTGCACTTATTATTTTTTTTTTTAGAAAGGTCAACTTATCCTTAAAAGAGGAGACCTCAAATGCTGTTGTTGTGCCGTTCCCAACTCAATGTCCTGCATTCCTGAGACTGCAGCAGTTTTTATGTTCAGTAACATAAATAATAAAAACTGTCTGGTCTTCCAGCACCTTTGTACAACATGCTACTTTCTGATTAAAATAAGAACCATGATGGAAGAAACTAAAATAAATATTAAATAAAATGCAACATATAAAATAATGTTGGTAGGTTCATCATTTTATATACAGTGGGGCAAAAAAGTATTTAGTCAGCCACCAATTGTGCAAGTTCTCCCACTTAAAAAGATGAGAGAGTCCTGTAATTGGCATCATAGGTAGACCTCAACTATGAGAGACAAAATGAGAAAAAAAATCCAGACAATCACATTGGCTGATTTGGAAAGAATTTATTTGCACATTATGGTGGAAAATAGGTATTTGGTCACCTACAAACAAGCAAGATTTCTGGCTCTCACAGACCTGTACCTTCTTCTTTAGGAGGCTCCTCTGTCCTGCATTCATTACCTGTATCAATGGCACCTGTTTGAACTTGTTATCAGTATAAAAGACACCTGTCCACAACCTCAAACAGTCACACTCAAAACTCCACTATGGTGAAGACCAAAGAGCTGTCGAAGGACACCAGAAACAAAATTGTAGACCTGCACCAGGCTGGGAAGACTGAATCTGGAATTGGCAAGCAGCTTGGTGTGAACAAATCAACTGTGGGAGCAATAATTAGAAAATGGAAGACATACAAGACCACTGATAATCTCCCTCGATCTGGGGCTCCACGCAAGATCTGACCCCGTGATGTCAAAATGATCACAAGAACGGTGAGCAAAAATCCCAGGACCACACGGGGGGACCTAATGAATGACCTGCAGAGAGCTGGGACCAATGTAACAAAGGCTACCATCAGTAACACACTACGCTGCCAGGGACTCAGAACCTGCAGTGCCAGACGTGTCCCCCTGCTTAAGCCAGTACATGTCCGGGCCCGTCTGAAGTTTGCTAGCGAGCATTTGGATGATCCAGAAGAGGATTGGGAGAATGTCATATGGTCAGATGAAACCAAAATAGAACTGTTTGGTAGAAACACAAACTCGTCGTGTTTGGAGGAGAGAGAATGCTGAGTTGCATCCAAAGAACACCATACCTACTGTGAAGCATGGGGGTGGCAACATCATGCTTTGGGGCTGTTTCTCCGCAAAGGGACCAGGACAACTGATCCATGTACAGGGCAGAATGAATGGGGCCATGTATCGTGAGATTTTGAGTGCAAACCTCCTTCCATCAGCAAGGGCATTGAAGATGAAATGTGGCTGGGTCTTCCAACATGACAATGATCCCAAACATACCGCCCGGGCAATGAAGGAGTGGCTTTGTAAGAAGCATTTCAAGGTCCTGGAGTAGCCTAGCCAGTCTCCAGATCTCAACCCCATAGAAAACCTTTGGAGGGAGTTGAAAGTCCGTGTTGCCCAGCGACAGCCCTAAAACATCACTGCTCTAGAGGAGATCTGCATGGAGGAATGGGCCAACATACCAGCAACAGTGTGTGCCAACCTTGTGAAGACTTACAGGAAACGTTTGACCTCTGTCATTGCCAACAAAGGATATATAACAAAAAGTATTGAGATGAACTTTTGATATTGACCAAATACTTATTTTCCACCATAATTTGCAAATACATTCTTTCCAAATCAGCCAATGTGATTGTCTGGATTTGTTTTCTCATTTTGTCTCTCATAGTTGAGGTCTACCTATGATGCAAATTACAGGCCTCTCTCATCTTTTTAAGTGGGAGAACTTGCACAATTGGTGGCTGACTAAATACTTTTTTGCCCCACTGTATATATTTTATTTTTAAATATGTTTATTTGAATGTCAAAAGTGAATGGTCCATTTTTTGATGAGATGAACAATAACCTGTGAAAAATAATACGATTGTTTTCTATCATAATTGTTATATATTCTCTAACCATATACAGCCAAATCAGGAAACACTTACCCCTTTTATAGAATGCCTTCCAACCAACAGCAGGGGATGTTCCTGTTGTAAGGCAAAATGACAATCTCTTTCTTTGGTCTTGACTACTCCTAGACTAGTTCTCTGTAACTACCACTGAGGTCAACAAAAGTGGTCCCTCTGGTCTGTGGTTTAAATCACTTTTTTAAGTGCCAGGCGGGTGCCATAATGACACGCTAAGAATACACTTCCACAGTGGTGGCTGTCAGTATAGCGCACACCAAGTGAAATTGGTTAGGTTTGGTCCTACTGTATAAAAATAAAGCCTTTTAGTCTATGTTAATATCTTATAAATGTTTATTAATGCTGTATACTTGCAATACCTCTCCATAACTATGCCTGTCGTCTGATGTATAACTGATGTACGGTGAATAGGAGATCATGTCAGGACGGTCAATATTATAGATGGCTTTACTTTTGGGTAGAGCCGCCAAATCTTTGTAGTCAATGATCTCATCGCCAAGTTTTGCCTAAGGATGACAGGAAAGAGAAAGAAGACAGACAGGTATGAGCAGAGGACAGAACAGATTACTAAGTAGCAGTTTACTAAGTAAAATGAAATAAAAGTGAAATTCTTAAGGGAAAACACAGCAGAGGACAGAAACCTGTACATGCAAAGCCTCTAATGCCAATGATTGACTTATGTATGCAGGTCCCACCAATTAATAGTGTACATACAAAGTGAGATTAAAAATGATGTACTGCCAACAGAACAGCAGTAAGATTTTATACAAAACACACTTTTTACAAATTGTTCATTCTCTCTTACCATATTACAAGCCATTTGAAAAGCCTACAGGTACAGTTGGGATCGAAAGTTTGGGCACCCCAGCTAAAATTTTGTATTAATGTGCATAAAGAAGCCAAGGAAAGATGGAAAAATCTCCAAAAGGCATCAAATTACAGATTAGACATTCTTATAATATGTCAACAAAAGTTAGATTTTATTTCCATCATTTACACTTTCAAAATAACAGAAAACAAAAAAATGGCATCTGCAAAAGTTTGGGCACCCTGCAGAATTAATATCTTGTACTGCCCCCTTTGGCAAGTATCTCAGCTTATAAACGCTTTTTGTAGCCAGCCAAGAGTCTTTCAATTCTTGTTTGAGGTATCTTTGCCCATTCTTCCTTACAAAAGTCTTCCAGTTCTTTGAGATTTCTGGGCTGTCTGTCACGCACTGCTCTTTTAAGGTCTATCCATAGATTTTCAATTATGTTGAGGTCAGGAGATTGTGAAGGCCATGGCAAAACCTTCAGTTTACGCCTCTTGATGTAATCCCCCGTGGATTTCGAGGTGTGTTTAGGATCATTATCCATTTGTAGAAGCCATCCTCTCTTTAACTTCAGCTTTTTCACAGATGGCATCAAGTTACCATCCCAAATTTGCTGAAATTTTATTGAATCCATTTTTCCTTCTACTCGTGAGATGTTCCCTGTGCCCCTGGCTGCAACACAACCCCAAAGCATGATTGATCCAACCCCATGCTTAACAGTTGGACAGAGGTTCTTTTCATTAAATTCTGTGCCCCTTCTTCTCCAAACGTACCTTTGCTCATTCCGGCCAAAAAGTTCAATTTTAATCTCATCGGTCCACAGAACTTGTTTCCAAAATGCATCAGGCTTGTCTATATGTTCATTTGCAAAGTTCAAACAATGATTTTTGTGGTGAGGATGTAGAAAAGGTTTTCTTCTGATGACTCTTTTATGAAGACCATATTTGTACAAGTATCTCTTTATAGTGGAATAGTGTACCACAACTCCAGTGTCTGCCAGATCTTTCTGGAGGGATCGTGCAGTCAAACGTGGGTTTTGAATTGTTTTTCTCACAATCCTGTGAGCTGTTCTGTCTGATATTTTTCTTGGTCTTCCAGATCTTGCTTTAACTTCCACTGTTCCTGATGACTGCCATTTCTTAATTACATTCCGAACAGAGGATATTGACATCTGAAAACGCTTTGCTATCTTCTTATAGCCTTCTCCAGCTTTGTGAGCGTCAACTATTTTCAGTTTTCTAGACAACTGCTTAGAAGAACCCATGGTGCTGATTGTTGGGGCAAGGTCAGATGAGTCTGGGCATTTAAAACCTTTGAGATTGACATCACCTGGTCTTCCCAGACGATGATTGAGAACAATCCATGACACTGGCAGGTCTCAGCTTGGCAAAGGGGGCAGTGCATGCTATAAATTCTGCAGGATGCCCAAACTTTTGCAGACGCCATTTTTCTGTTTTCTGTTATTTTGAAAGTGTAAATGATGGAAATAAAATCTAACTTTTGTTGACATATTATAAGAATGTCTAATCTGTAATTTGATGCCTTTTGGAGATTTTTCCATCTTTCCTTGGCTTCTTTATGCACATTAATACACATTTTTAGCTGGGGTGCCCAAACTTTCAATCCCCACTGTAGCTATTTTAAACACAAACCTCTATAGAAAGGATGCCTGTGGCTCAAGAGCTTGCAATTCATATGCAACTGCTTAGACAATAAGGGGGAACTCAAGTCTCTAGATATTCTACATTCTTTTATGACCATCTGATGCTGCCCTTTCAATTACTGAGAATATAAAGATGTCAAATACCTACTTACCTAACAGTAGGTCTGGGCTTTCTTCTACCAATGGCACCTAAGAATAGCTACAGCTGCAAGTAATCTCTGCTCTTTTAAATGATGACATTTGGGCAGCACAAGCCAATCAGTAGCTCTGCTTGAACAGAGATGCCATCCTTTGACAGATGTGCCATGTCCCTCAGCTGTGGCAATGCATTCAGAGCTGGTGGCTGAAGAGAACCCAAAGCCCCTGCTAGTTATCCAATTCACAGCTTTGGATATTTTATTATAGATGGAGCAGAGTAAGTCACAAAATACTCTAATGATGATTAATGAATGTCACTATGGGGGGTTATTTATTAAAACTGGAAAGTGTAAAATCTGGTGCAGCTCTACATAGACACCAATCAGCTTCCAGGTTTTATTGCCAAAGCTTAATTGAATAAGCCGAAGTTAGATGCTGATTGGCTAACATATTCTTCTCACCCCATTAGGAAAACAGTAGGAGTGTCCGAAGACTGGGCAGTCACACTAAAGCATTTCATACATTGAGGACTAGATTGTGAATGGTCTAGCCAACCTTACATAATGGGAAGGTGACAAATGAACTTGCAAAGCTATAGGCTCGTAGTGTTGTCACTCTCTGACTATGTTGAATTGCAGAGATGTGTGAACGACATTTCTGGATAAACAGTTGATAGGTAAACCACAGGACACTGTATTTCAATTGTAAGCAATCTGATTTGCTTATTTACTGTAAAATGACAACAATAATGCAATATGCAAAAAAGAAAAAAAACAGTCTTACATAAATGACTCTACTTGGGGATCCGGAGGTACTTGATGCAGGGACTGATATGATGCTCTCTGAGGAAGTTCTTGTTTCCTGAGGGATAAATGCCCAAGATTTTGAATGTACACCTTAATAAGTATTTAAGCAAAAGTGTTTCATTTCCACTACGCAATGGCCCTATGTAGTCATTAAGGGTATAGAAATTTTATACACAGGTACATTGGTCCAATGTGGGCCAATGTAACTATGTACAAGGGGCATTCAAGTCAAACTGGGACTTTTGAGTTTATATAATAAAGGAAAAAATTTCAAGGAGTGAACAATGAATTTATTTTTCGACATACCGTATTTTCCGGCGTATAAGACGACTATTTAGCCCATGAAAATCTTCTGAAAAGTCGGGGGGTCGTCTTATACGCCGGTATACGGCGAGCCGGTGTCAGGGTGGCACTTTTTTGAGGGGCGGCACGGTGGCGGAAGGGACACTAAGTACAGGGGAGGGCAGGGGGCTGCTGTACCTTACCTGGCTCCGGTCCCGGTCCCACGACGATCCGGTCCAGGAAGCGCGGCTGCTCCTTCTTTCAACTCCGCCGCTTGATGGTCGCGCGGCCGCTCGGCTCCGCCTCCTCACCGGTGATTGGGCGCCAGCACTGGAAAGGCACACAGGCGACCAATCATCGACGAGGAGGCGGAGCCGAGCGGCCCCACGAAAATCGAGTGAGGGAGTGGCCAGTAAGTGTGCAGCAGCAGCATGCTGTGACACTCGGCACTATTCCTCTCCCCCACTGACACCAACGATGAGGCACTGTTCCTACCCCACTGACACCAACGATGGGGCACTGTTCCTACCCCACTGACACCAACGATGAGGCACTGTTCCTACCCCACTGACACCAACGATGAGCCACTGTTCCTACCCCACTGACACCAACGATGAGGCACTGTTCCTACCTCACTGACACCAATGATGGGGCACTGTTCCTCCCCCACTGACACCAACGATGAGGCACTATTCCTCCCCCACTGACACCAACGATGGGGCACTATTCCTCCCCCACTGACACCAACGATGGGGCACTATTCCACCCCCCCCACTGACACCAATGATGGGGCACTATTCCTCCCCCACTGACACCAACGATGGGGCACTATTCCTCCTCCCCACTGACACCAACGATGGGGCACTATCCCCCCCCCCACTGACACCAATGATGGGGCACTATTCTCTCCACTGATACCAATGATGGGGCACTTTTCCCGCCACTGACACCAACGATGGGGCACTATTCCTCCCACTGACACCAATGATGGGGCGCAATTCCTGCCACTGATACCAATGATGGGGCGCAATTCCTGCCACTGATACCAATGATGGGGCACTATTCTCCCCACTGATACAAATGATGGGGCACTATTCTCTCCACTGATACCAATGATGGGGCACTTTTCCCCGCCACTGACACCAACGATGGGGCACTATTCCTCCCACTGACACCAATGATGGGGCGCAATTCCTGCCACTGATACCAATGATGGGGCGCAATTCCTGCCACTGATACCAATGATGGGGCACTATTCTCCCCACTGATACAAATGATGGGGCACTATTCTCCCCACTGATACCAATGATGGGGCACTTTTCCCGCCACTGATACCAACGATGGGGCGCTATTCCCCACTGACACCAATGATGGGGCGCAATTCCTGCCACTGATACCAATGATGGGGCGCTATTCCTCCCACTGACACCAATGATGGGGTGCAATTCCTGCCACTGATACCAATGATGGGGCGCTATTCCTCCCACTGACACCAATGATGGGTCACTATTCCTCCCACTGACACTAATGATGGGACACTATTCCTCCCACTGACACCAATGATGGGGCACGATTCTTCCCACTGACACCAATGATGGGGCACTATTCCTCCCACTGACTAATGATGGGACACTATTCCTCACACACTGACACTAATAATGGGGCACCATCATTGGTGTCAGTGGGAGGAATAGTGTCCCATCATTGGTATCAGTGGGAGGAATAGTGCCCCATCATTGGTGTCAGTGGATAAAATAGTGCCCCATCATTGGTGTCAGTGGGAGGAGTAGTGCCTCATCATTGGTATCAGTGGGGGAATAGTGCCCCATCATTGGTGTCAGAGCGAGGAATCGTGCCCCATCATTGGTGTCAGTGGGAGGAATAGCACCCCATCATTGGAATACCATACTGAAATAGCATACCATATTGAAATCAATTCTGATGTTTTTTCATTTTTATTTGGTGTGCGTTGGAAGAGGGGGTAGTCTTATACGGCGAATATAGCTCAAACCCTATATTTTAAAAGGAAAAGTAGGGGGTCGTCTTATACGCCCAGTCGTCTTATACGCCGGAAAATACGGTACTCCCCTGCTACATTTATACAGTGGAAAGCTTCGGCATAGAAAGATTTGTCAGTACGTCTGAAGCATCCTAGGAAAGCCTGCTTCACTTCGTCATCATTGTGTTCACTGTTCCCACAGAAAAATTTGTCTCTTGTGCAATTTGACAAGTTACGCATCGATTATCCAGGATCAGACATTCCACGCGCTGAATGTTCACAGGAATGACTGCCGTGGGCTGGGAACAACAATGACTGGGATCGTCACTGATGGACGTACAGCCATCTTTGAACCGTTCACACCCATTCAAATGCCCTACTGCGATTGAGCATCTCATCACCACACTGTGCTTGAAGTCTTCTGTAGATATCCACGGGTTTTACGACTTTGTCGCCACACGCTGTTCCATGCACGCACTAACACTGTTGTCTGCCATCTTGATTAACGATCTCTTGATTAGCCCGCAACATGTGTGCCACCTATCAGTAATAGGACAAACTTGCCACTTACTACTAAGGTTAGTACCGCCACGCTGGCATCCCTTTTTATACCTGTAAAATTAAAAGTCCTGGTGTGACTTGAACGCTCCTTGTATATACAACACTCGGCTGATACCACTGGAAGTTGGAAATCACTGAAGTAGACATCGCTACTCCAATGATCTCCACTTCCTGAGAGGTTGTCCTGGTGCATTCCAAACACAGGAGGTTGGCCAGTTGCCAAGGGAAACAGGAAGGTAAAAAAATGTGCATTTATTATTTTTCTTCCTAAGGAGCCTGCAAATCATTGCACCTGTGATCGCAGGTTCAGTGCAGGCAGACTCTTGGGATGACTGTCTGCCCGTACCTCCCATCTATAAACTACAGGAGCCCTCACCAGTGTCCTTGCCGTTCATTAAGAACAACAAGTCATCTACTGAGATGGCACGCGGTACTTGTAGTCTTTTCATTCACAGGAAACAGTGTTGTCATGGGGAAGAGGGGCCCGGGGGTGGATGCTTAACATGTTACACCCTAAATACGTGCAATAATAACGTAACATGTTCAGAAAGGTGAACTTAGCCTTTAAACATTTAAGCATTGGCTGGAGTAGACTGGTAAATCTATGGGGACAAGTCCTAAAAAAGTACCTTATTTCTTTCTTCTGTTTTGGCAGCTTGCCTGCAGATTGGATGCCATATTGAGTTCCCTGTTAAAATAAAAAGTGGCAAATATCAGATATTCAATAATAAATAAACATTACATTAAAATGTGCTTTGCTAAAACTTTTTTCTGAGTTAATAATCTAATGCACCTTCTGAGACAAGAAGATTCCACAAGAATGGGCAAGTTAAAAGTGCTGAGCCATGCTTGTACAGGAAGGGCTTTGACAACCATGAAAATTTTCTAAGAAGCAGGTAAAGACATATACAATTTAAAATTGTCTCTATTTCTAATTTTATGGAGGCTGAGCTTCACCTAAGAGTGAAAGTGACAAGAGAATTGTTTAAACAAAGCTATAGCTTGAATGCAATTAAAAATATCCGGTATATTTCTTATAGTGCTAAATATTCAATTACAATCCAAAAATTCTGCTTGGAAAGTCTTCACACTCAATTCACTAAGCTATTGCAAGCACTATTTGCCATAAATACCTTTATATGATGAGAATGGAAAGAAACTCTGACACACTAGCAGAAATGATAAGCATTATGGATTTAATACATACTGGATGCTGTAGCTTTGGCAAATTAAACTTTTCATTCATGTTAAAGGATCAGATTACTCAAAATATAAACTAAATTATATAGATGTACATCCTTAAAATGTGGACACTCCTTCAAATAACTGAGTTCAGTGAAAGATGTTCTAATGTTCCAACATAGAAAGACATGTTAGACAACATTGGGGCAAGAGACTGGAAAAGGTATAAGTGTGCCCCTTTGCACAAAGCCAAGTCCGTAAAGGCAAGGTTTGCTAAGTTTGGGGTGGAGGGACTCGAGTGGCCTGCACAGAGGCCCTGAATTCTACCATACTAAACTGTTTTGAGAAGAACTGGAATATGACTGTGAACAGGTCTCTGTCAAGGTCCTACCTTTTCCCTGAGGTTATGTTACTCCATGTGCTGGCGTCCATCTTGGATTCTGCTGTGCATGATGGGAGTCCTTTTTATGCCTTCAGGTCTCTGAGGTCCACCCCCCAGAGGGGCGTGGCTGATGACATATAACCCTGTGGCCCGCACATGCTCTTTGCACTTGTGTCTTGTGTCTTTGTGTCACTATTACTCTGTTCTGACTCTCGTGACTCTCCTGGTATTCTGATTCGGCTTGTGACTTGACTATTCTTTGTATTCTCCTTTGATCTGACCCTCTGTTGCTGAACCCGGCTTGTGACCTGTGATTCTCGTCTGCTCGTCTGTACTGTTTTGTCCTGTTGTTGTTGACCCCGGCTTGTCTGACTACTCTTTTGTTTCTTCCACCAGCTACACACCATTGGCGGCGGCCATTACCGCAGCTGAGGTGTCTCGGGGGCCGCGACCTGGTTCCTGGCTGCGTCAAGTCCATCCCCACCATCAGGGGCCCTGGTGAAGGGCAGCCTGGGACTTAGACTCCGCGCCCTGAGGGACTCCGGTCTGTGGGTGGTGGTTGTCGTCAGCCAGTGCGTTACATTGTTAGGCCTGCCTGTCCGTTCCTCGGCTCCTGCCCTGACAGTCTCCTTATACAACATCAGTACTTGACCTCACAAAAGCTAAATGGGCACATATTACCACAGGCACACTCCACAATCTCACAGAAAGCCTTCACAAAAGAGTGATGGTCATCAGGATTCTCACAACACAATAATGTACACCATACAAAATATGACATGAGAACCATAAGCACCTCCCATAGTATGGTAGATACTGATGATGTTGGTCACCAGGACAAGGGGGGGTGTTAGATCTCCACATTGAGAATACGGATAGCAATAGACACATGACAGAGGTTCCAACTCTAAGAATGGGTGTGGTGACCTATAGAAACAAATCACAACTTATTTCTAATTGTTCTGTTACTCTAAACTGATATTAACTAATTAAAAAGAAGCTTTTGGCCCATCAGTCTTGTGCTTTTATGTGGTAATGCAACTCTTCTGAAACAGTACAAGGGTAGCTTATCCTTTTTGAAAGATGTGCAGATGTCATCTCACCATTTTTCATGTTAATTTAGGACTCAGTGAAGCTCTTCCATTATCATTTGGCCCTATGCTGCTTGTGCTGTGTCTGATGGTTTCACTGCTAAGACTGGCCAGAGCAAAGCCATGTACAATCCCCATTTCAATAAAATTAATGAAGATCACAAACAGAACAAGGGTTACCTTGAAGATACATCTCCTCGCCTTCAGCAAACATTTGATTGCATCGAACACATCGTGCACAGGTTGGGTGATAATGCTTTTCACCAGCCTGTAGGAAATAAAACAGGATTGGTGAGCATATTTTTGAAAATTCTTTTCCCCAAGCTGCAGAAAAAAAATGGGTCCCATATATGTGCAGGTTAGCAACACAAAATGGTCACTTTAGACTGTACCCTTCAAGGACCTCTAAAGAGAAAACACCTGAATGTCAAATTTATCATATGGCATGTACAGTATAATCACTCAGAATGGTCATCATTGTTCTCGGAGCCTTATAGAGAGGTTAGCACCCACCTGAATCAACTGCATCATATTTGTCCATAGAGAAAGCTCAGATGGCCATTTATGTGTGGTTATGGGCAGATTTATGTCATGCAGTCTATTTTATTTTTTCAGAAAAACAAATCTGTCAATTTTCAGAAGTTCTGATGCCTAAAAAGGTGCAATAATTATTGCTCTGAAAATGCTGTTTGCAGCATGTTGTTGACAAGTTTGTATTTAGGCCTGCACAGACCACAAATGTCTCTAATTTTATCTGCCTTTTTTTCATCAGATGTCTTTGACCTTCACTCCTTGTAAGTATGATTTGTTTTTGATTTGCTATAAAAAGCAGATGAAAAGTACATCACTATAAAGAAGTTGTAAGACAGATAGGGATGTTTAAACTACACCCCTACATGACAATTATTAGGCAAGTAACAATTATGCCCCACAGCATGCATCTCTTCCATTTACTGCAACCTACAGCCACTAACATTTTAAAGTGGTTATAAAAGCTGAAGTTTTTTATCTTCATGCATTCTATGTATGAAGGTAAAAAACCTTCTGTGTGCTGCTCCCCTTACAGACCCCCAATACTCATCTGTGAGCCCCCTCTCGATCCAGCGATGTGCACAGGAGCCTCTCTTCACATTGGCTAAAACTCAACAGTGGAAGATTTGGCACACAGCCAGTGAGCCATTGAAAAGAGAGTGGGGGGAGAGGCTGAACCATGGCTCTAGGAGTCTTATGGAGGCTCAGGAGTGAGCAAGCACCAGTGTCCTCATAGCAAGCAGCACTGGTCAAGGGGTAGGAGTCAGGAGCAATGGCAGGGAACCCGAGAAGAAGAGGATTGGGGCTGCTCTGTGCAAAACCATTGCACAAAGCAGGTAAGTATAACATATTTGTTTTGGTTTTTTTTTTTTTAATACCTAAGCTTTAATATCACTTTAACATAGAATAGTTGGGGGCCTCCAGTGGTAGACGAAGAGAACACAGTAAAGATGTGAGTACATATTTTATCATATCCGCTGTTCAGTATACCATTTACAGGTACAGGTGTATTTAACTCTTTCATGATTCGAGGTCTTGATACCTGAATCCCAAATTACATTTAGCAGCATTAGTATTCATCCAAGTGATTTTTATAATATGACGTTTTCTCACCATCATGCTCAGGAACATTAATCTACATAATATGTGCAGGAAGTGGTAAAGAGTTTCACAACTCACAAACTGGACCTACATTTTTTTTATTTTTTTTTTTTAATTAATTTTTTTCTTCAAAATGTGACATAAAGATAAAATTAATTTTCCTTTCTTGAAAAGCTGTCAAAAAAAAACGAATACATATACATTTTTCCAAACAATAGAATTTCACATTTGTTCATAAAGTAAGGCTTCATGCACATGGGCGCATTTGTCAGTGCAGCATAAATACACTATGCTTTTCTTGTGCCCAGGATCCTGGAGCTACAGCCACCCATATCCATGAATAGGTGAAGGCAGCTATATGCATAAAGTAACGCATGTGCACAGACTTAATGGCCTGAATGTGCACTACATGCATTTGGGACAGTACGTCTGTATGCATGAGCTACTTTACACTGATAGTAATGCAAAATAAAAAGGACCGAACTGCTAAGTACGGTAAGGCATTGCATTCTTTGGGTACAGTAAGAGACCACACAATAAAATACATATAACCATTAAAAGCTTTAAGCTCAACCTCATTTCTTGTATGTATATTGTGTCCACCTTATATACATCTATATGTTTGTTTGTATATTTATTTTAAATTTCTTTATGCAGTAGCACTACTCTCCCTCATATTCAGGCTATGGTCCTGAAGAGGCCAAATGCACAGGCGAAATGCGTTGACCGCATTTTGAAATATATAAACATAAATCACCAGCGCCAAAATTAAACAAAAAATAAATTATATGCTGCTGTACATCAGTGTAGACCTACACCAAAATTTTTTTATAATCAACACAAACAGCGCAAAATAATTTGTTAGAGTGCTAAATAAATAAAAAAAATATATAAATAAATAATATTAACAAATTAAATATTAACAAATATATTAATAAACATATAAAGTCCCACTCCAGAATACGTGAAAAAATAAAAGTGAACAAAATCCTAAGATACTCAAAACATCCTTTTTCCAAAAACGTGTGCTTCCACCAACAATTTGTGCTCAAACATATATACCGCCGCACTAACCAGATATTGGCGACAAAAACACCTTTTAGGTATTTTTTTGATCCTAGACCCTTATAATATGCCTCCAGATCTCCACTCCACTAAAGGAAAACTTTCCTCCAATCTCCAAGACCACCAGATTCCACTTCCCAGAGATATCAGTAAGCGAATAAATCATCTCCATCTTATCCAGCAATTTATATATATATATTTTATTTTATTTAGCACTCTAACAAAATATTTTGCACTGTTTGTGTTGATTATAGCATTTTGAAATATATGTATGTTGTCACTATGTGCTGAGTGGTTATCCTTTACTATACATGAGGGGGGCTCTGTGCTCAACTTGATGTGCTTTGTTCCTATATTCTCTTTTGAAGCGTATCTTTTGTAATGTGGGTTCTATTATGGACATATGATTCTTTTATGTCAATATATGGTTATATGTATTTTATTGTGTGGTCTCTTACTGTGCCTAAAGAATCCAATGCCTTTTCGTACTTAGCAGTTTGGTCCTTTTTCTTTTCAATATTTACAGGATTTGGCACTAGGAAGCTTGTTTCGATAGTTTTTATACTGATAGTAATGCATAGCTGCTTACAGCTGCCTTCTCTTATTCATGTCTATAAGGGCTCATGTACACTGCAGCTGATAAACCCACGTTTAGGAGCTGTTCAGTGTTTTTTTCAGCAGCCCCAGAACTCACTCTAATGTTTTCCTATGTGTCCATGTACACATCTTCGTTTACAATCGTTTACAGGCATTTGAGTTTACAGTCGTTTTCTTGAACGCAGAAAACTTGTGTTCAGCAATCGATTTTATCAGCGTTTCAAACGCAAAACGCTAGTAAATGCGGCAAATCACGTTTATAAGAGTTTTACATTTTTTTTAACTCTTCCAGTTCCCAAGGCTGTCCGGAGCCTTTTTTCATCATGAAAAATGCATGCAAAGTGTTTTTAAGGTACTCAGATGGACAAAACACTGAACACAAGATTTTCCTACCAAGCTTTTCACACATTGTAATGACCAATTCACACCTCAGACCTCTCCCACCCTTGGAAACAAAAGATATGTTAATGACCATTCACACCTCAAATTCCTCATGAAGACCCCCTGCCTGGTGACCTTAATGACTCACTCCACCAGACACCTACCCCACCCTTGGAAACAAAAGAAATGTTAATGAGCAACTCACACCTAATTATCTCAACACATACTTCTGTCTCTGCTTCTACTCTCTGTACTTCTCTGAAACAGTCTGAAATAGTTAATAATTTGCAATTTTTCAGTACATTCGGGGCATTTGGAAGGTTCTCCTGTGCCTATCTTTAAAAACCGTTTCTAAACACAAACACACATAAACGCGCATAAATGCATTATGCAAACGCGGCTATACAGATGTTTTTGAACCTACGTTTTCCAGCTTCCTACGTTTTCAATTTTCATCATTCAGAAGTGTCCCGTGTACATGGGGCCTAAGTGGCTATATGAAACTACAGGACATCCTGAGCACCAGAAATACGCAGTATATTTATACTATTTATGCTACGTGGGCAAATGAGCCTATGTGCATATAGGAAGGAAGAAAAGCACAATGCTCCATTTACAGAGGTTGAAATAAAACAGAATCTTACAGCTGTGAAAAGCTCAAATAAAGTAAAGTTCTTGAAGAGAGAAGTATAACTTCGATATTTTTTTAATACACTTTCATATATTCCTTACTCTGTGCCAACAGTGAGGATATCATATAGATGGAAAAGGGAAGTAACAAGGAATGAAAACTATAACAGTGTAAAAACAGAACAAATAACAGTTCACTGACTCATCTAGGTCTGGGTGTGATTGCTATCAGATTATATAGAACATTTAGAACGTATTAACCACTGTCGCCAAAATTGAAGAAACTTCAGATATGTGTTTCTTCATCACTATCATCCCTTCCATTGAGCCGTGGGAATTCAGATCTTGGATTACTTCCCTAACTTTTGGAGGAATAGGTAATCCCCATTTCCTAGTGACATTTAAGCTTAGCTACAGGTAATAAATACATAATGATGGTTCTATAAGCATTATGGAAATCAGAGACATTTATGTGGAGTAGAACTAGCTCAACAGTGCGGTTCTAGCCATCCCTGTAATTTCTGCTATAAGGGAGAAGATTCTATCCCAAAAAGCTCAGAGATATTTACAAAACCACATTATATGAATAAAAGAGCCAGATTCTGTGCACTGTTTGCAATATAACAGAGTCTGAGTAGATGATTTCCAATCTACATTTATTTCTTTATTACAGGTATTTATACAGTGCTGTCAAATTACACAGCGTTTTACATATATTATACATTCATATCATATATGGGGTAATGTATCAATGGCAGACAACTTTTGGAGAAGTTCCCAGTGTTTGGATCAATGCAAAGATTGGAATACATTTTTTAACTCTACTGGAAGTCTGAGAGTTCTTTACTTATGTCCCTTTCCCTTTTAGACATAGGCAGAGCCTTTGAGAAATGTGAGATTTGTTATAAAAGAAATCTAATAATTAACCAAGTAAACAATGATGAAATCTTTTCAATTACTACA